AATACAAAATAAGCTAAGATTAATGTAGCATATGCAAGGTTTTATCAAAAAAATTCACTCAGATCCATTTTTTAGTAATTATTTCAAACAACACAGACATGAAAAAATAAATGAATAAAAATTTCTTATCATAGCTTTCAAAAGATTCAATAATTATAAAGAAGAGTAAAAAATCCAACTTATACGATTAAGGCATGAAAGTTATGTTTGTTTTGGTATTACATCTGCCTTTACGACTATTAATTGGGGACACTTTAAAAGAAATAAAAATTCTAACGAGTCAGTTCTGAAGCTGCTGCTGTTGCAAAATTATATCATATATTGTTTAAGTCAAATGATTCAAATAAAAATATTTCTTTAATTAATTACAATTCATATATTTCATTCTTTTAAACAAGGTAGATATTGATAACTTAAGTCTATTTTTGAATTACTTAATAATCGAAATTTCCATCAACTTAATACAAAAACAATTGAATATAATTTTGAAATTCAATCAAGAATTAAGAGATTTGATTTATGTATACTACATATGGATGAAAAAAGAACAACTAATGTATTAAATCAGTATAAATATAAATTATAAAACATTAAATTTATCAGTCCCATAGATTTTATAATATTTAAATATTAATAACTTCTGACTTTTATGAAAAAATTTCAATTTGAGCTATCAATCATAAATAAGAAGTAACGATTAGTAGTAAAAATTATAATTCTTCCAGAAAGTTAATAAAATCCTTAAATTCATAAATAATTCCTCTATATCAAACAGGTTTAGTTTCTATTTTGAGAGTTGAAAATTTAAGTTTATTCATTTAATCTTGTATCTGAATCTTTAATTTAACCAAAAACTAATTAACCTTTTAATTTTTGAATTAAGACTTTAAGAAGAGGTAATGTAGAGATTTTATTGGTGAATAATATGTTATTATTTTGTTGAATCAATTTATAATAGTTATCATAAGTGACAATTCTGACAACAAATTTAACTAATTAATCTAATACCAAATTAGTTTTGACTTTAAATTATTTATAAAATACAATAATATTAATTTATTTCAAATTTTAAATCATCATATTTATAAAAATAAATAAAACAAGCATAATCTCTTCAAAAAAATCTGTTTATATTAGTCACATCAATTTCTTAAATATCACTTTTTAGAAAATAAGAATGATTACTCAATTATTAGAATCTTCCTTCTAAAAAACTATAAAAAACATCCTTAAAATTAAAATGATCTTATTTTTAAACATAAGATAAATATTTTTCTTATTTTGTTTGTTTTTAGGAATACTTTTTTTATCGTTCAGATTATCTATTTCTATATATAAAGATATAAACTTGCTCTTTAGTGCCTTTGCCTTAGGTTGGATGATATTTGAGTGTCAGCTTTTTGAATGGCTTTTTGATTTATTAATTGATAGAGTTTGTGGCATGATAAAAATTGAAAGAAAATTAACTATACTCCAAGTAATTCATAATTATCGAAATGATGCATATCATATTTTTTTTCAAACATATAGATTGAATTAATTACAAATATATTATGATTAAATAATATGATGATAATTTAATTCTATTGTCCATATGATTAATACTTGTAGTTCATGCAATTCTGAAATGATTGATGGAATATTTGGCTGAATTTCCTACTCTTGATAAACAGTAAATAAACTACCCAACTGTCTTTCCTGATTAGCCTAATTTTTTAGTTATGTTATTTGATCTAAACAATATTCATTATCATGAATAACATGGTAATATATCCAGAAATAAAGTATCAATTTTTTTGTTAAAAAAAGACATAAAAGTATTTATGTAAACCAGTTTGAATACTAGGTCATTTTCAAAAAATAATTACAAATGTAATTTTATCCTTTTCCCTCTAAAAATTAATTAAAAAATTTATCACTTACATGATGACTAAAATTAGTCAATGAATCAATTATTAATTGTTGAATTTA